GATATTTTTCTTAACTTGATAAGATTAGTTTGTTACGAAACTGGCTGTGGATCGGAGATGGGTCCCTGGCCGTCTCCCAGTTACTCACAGAAATCTGACAGTGTGATTATTTTCCTTAGAACAAGAGCTTCTGACCTATGCACACCCCTGGATTTGCTGACAAAACACCTCCTCCTCTCCCTCCACAAAAATCATTTAAGAAAAGGCAAACTCATCGATGCAAGGAGCGTGATTTCTTCCTGCTGCAGCCACAGTGGCTGGGAGAGGCACAGGAACCCAAACGTCAGCAGGTGAGGATCACAGTTTTCATGTGGCCCACACGGAATAGGTACAGTCAGAGCACAGCACACTGTCCCGGGCATACACATGTAGGAGTCAGGCAGATCGGACAGTAAGGGACTGAAAATATCCTTACTGTCTGGAGGAGGTTGGGACAGTAGAACGTGGAACCACTGGCTTTCACTTGGGTTCCTTGTTCTGAGGACTCTGCTATTGTCCCATCTTGAGCATGTTCCCTCAGTGTGTCTTATGAATTTCCAGGCTTTTCTTCTTCTTTTTCCTACTTTCATAACTGCACATCTGATACCGCAAGACCCTGTAGGTGATGGCCTCAGCTATTGCTCTAGCCCTCCAACCGCCTAGTGCATCAGACAACTGAACGTCCCAGTAGCACTCCGACCCTGTCCACAGCTGCGGTTTCAACCCACAGCCTAGGCTCTCAGTCTATGACCCGCTTCCTTTTCCCAGCTCCCCCTTGGGTGTCATCTCTTCTTTTCAGCCCCTTGTTTCAGCCAGAGCCAAAGAGTATTTTCTGGATGGGCCAGACAATTCCACACTGCTCACCTTCACTCACCAAACTCCGCTCTCAGCTCAATTCCGCCACCTCTTCAGGGAAGTCTTGTCCTATCTACTTCTCTAGGCTGCAAGGAATTGTGGGCCTCAGCGTGTGTATGTGTGTGTGTGTGTGTGTGTGTGTGTGTGTATGTGTGTGTGTGTCTGTGCGTGTGCGGGTGCAGAGACCTGGGCTTCAATTCCTAGTGGTTCACAGATGTCCACAATGCTAGTCCCAGGAGACTCACAATGTTCAGAACAAGCAAAACATTCATATACATAAAATAAAATAAATGAATCTAAGCAAAAAATAATTTTAAAGGGAAATGCCTTAAAAAGATAAGAAGATGTATCTGGGTATGGCAATTCAAGCTGTCATTCTGCATCAGGAAGCTGAGGCAGGAGAACTGGGTTACGTAGTGAATTCCAGGTCAGCCTGGGCTACATAATGAATTCTAGGCTAGCCTGGGCTACAAAATACAGACTGAGACATTGTTGGGGAAGAAAGGAAAAAAGGAATAAATGTAGGTAGGCAGGTTTAGAAAGAACAATGGCAATTGACAAAGGAATGTCTCAAGTCTAGCCTGTCTCCCTTCTTTGACAGGTGTTTTTAACTTCTTTAAGTTTCTCTGTAAAATGAGGACAATGTAGTACCCGACTCCTAAGACTGGATGGATAATGTCTGAGAAGCACTTAGCCTAGACGCTGCACACAATAAGAGCTAACAATTACAGAGAGGATGTTAATAATAGCCGTGACAAGGGAACCGGCGGGAAGACAGCGCGTGTACAGAGCTGAGTAGCTAGTGTCGAAGCAGCAAGGTACTCAGACTAGTTTTGGTTAGGAAACGCTCACAGCTGTTTATACCAGTTCAGAGATGTGTGTTAGACTTCAAGCAAAGAGCAGCGCAAAGTGCCAAGGCCAAGGATGTCTGAAGAAAGGCCAAGGAAGCAGTGTCCTCCTGCAAGCCCACACTTGCTCCAGGCACCCTGCAAATCCCAGCCTGGAATGAGTCGAAAGGCTTCTTTCCTTTTCTGACATATTTACTTTATCTTATATGTGTGAGTGTTGGTGCCCACAGGAATGGAGTTACTGGTGGTTGTGGGTTGCCATGTGGGTGCTGGGAGCCAAATCCAGGTCCTCTGTAAAAGCCAATGAAATGCTCTTAAGCACCAAGCCCTCTTCTCTTCCTTTTTTCCTTCCTTCTTCTTTTTTGAGATAGGATGTAACTATCGGTCCAGGTTCTGTTGGTCTAACTCTGTTAGTCTCCCAGCCTCAAGTGATGCTCTCTGACTCAGCCTTCCAAGTAACTGGGACTAAGCGAATGTCCCACTATTCCTGGCCATTCTAAGGACTTTAAAATCTTAGGATTTACTTTTGGGCTGGAGTATGTAGCTCCGTGGCATACTGTCTGCCTAACACATACAGCAAAATAAATAAACGAAATGCTGTTGTTGTTCTTTTAAAAATTCAGGTATAGTTGCTCACACCTGTAATCCTAGCACTCAGGTAGAGGAATGGCTCAAAGTTTGAAGCCAGTGTGGGCTACAGAGATCTTTTTTCAAAGTAAATAAATAAATAAAACCACAAAAAGCAAAACAAGAAAGCTACTCTACTTGTTTACTTTTAGGTAAAATGGAGAGACTGCCCAACGCAAGCCAGGGTTTAAGTCAGCCGTTGCAGCGTGGTTGTTAACCATGCCTTTCTTGCTCAAGTGAACTCCTGATTTATAGTAACACTGTCTACTCATCCTATATAACAAGGCTCTCTGTTTATGTAAAGAAACTTCAAGCTGGGTGGTGGTGGCACACACATTTAATCCCAGCCCTTGGGAGGCAGAGGCGGGTGGATCTCTGTGAGTTGGAGGCCAGCCTGGTCTATGGAGTGAGTTCCAGGACAGTCAGGGCTGTTACACAGAGAAACCCTGTCTCAAAAAACCAGGAAAAAAAAAAAAAGAAGAAGAAGAAAAGAAAAGAAAGAAAAAACTTCAGTGTTTTAAATTCTCTGGAATAACTCACAATCCACATGGAAACAAACTTTTAAGATTATTATTTTGAGACAGGGTCTTGTATATTTCAGGCTTGCTTTGAATTTGCTAAGCGGCTGAGGATGACCTTGAACTCCTTCCTGATCCTCCTGCCTCAGGTGTGTGCCACCGCGCCAGGTTTTTGCTCACGTGGTAGGGTCATAGAGAACAGGGCACATTTTCTAAACAGCAGCACGGGGGGAGTTGGTTTAGTCTGGCATACTATCTATGATCAATGGTTTGTTTTTTAAAATTTTAAGCAAAAAGCAACAACAACAACAACAACACAATAAAAATAGTAAAAAGAAGGAGGAGGGTCTGGAGAGATGGCTTAGAGGCTAAGAGCTCTGGCAGCTCTTCCAGAGGATGGGGGTTCAATTTCCAGCATCCCCAGGGCAGCTGACAGCTGTTTGTAACTCCAGTTTTAGGTGATCTGACACTCTCACACAGACATACATACAGACAAAATACCATTGCACATGAAATAAAAATAAATTAAAAACTAAAAGTAGACAGTTTTAAAAAAGAAAGGAATGAGGGCAACACTAGCAATTTGTTAAGAACTGCTTTTCCTATCCTAACACTAAGGTGCAAGAAGTCAATAATTTGGAAGTTAAAGAAGGCTTCCTGTGGCTGAGTCCTCTGGGCCTCACTAAACCTCAACACTGAGTTTATGGGGAGAAATATAAGCTCTGCAAATTCACATTCCTAGTCTCTTCTAAAGTTCCAATCAAAACCATGCACTTTAAGACCGTTTTAAAAAACTAAATGAAGAAGGGAGTTTTACAACTTACATTAGAATGGATGCCTTTCCAAGAATTCAAAACAAAAAAATCATTCTACTTCATCTCACCCTAAGCCCCCAGAAGCCTGGAAAAGCGGTTATGTTTATGAGCGCATCAGAATGGGATTTCTCCCAATGTAGCACTAACAAATGCATATCCATATGCATTGTGAAACACCGTTGCTTTATTTATTCTTTATCGTTTGTCAGAACCTGTTTATACAAATTAGATCAAAATCAGATTCAACCAGCGATTTAAAATTATTTACTGAGATGCTCGGGTTAACAAATCCGGGAACAACACTATTCGGTCTTGCAAAACATCACGGGAACATTATCGGGGGATAGGATAAAATAAATAATAAATACCCTAGAGACCGTTTTACAGCGTTCATTGTTACAAAATCATAACCTCTCATGACACAAACAACGAGATTGTATAACGTCCCCACCGCGTCTTTTAGAAGTTGGGGGCTGAAAAAAGAGGCGGAGGAACTCAGCAAAACATTGTGGCGACAAAAGTCGGGGGAGGGGTGCTCGAGAAGGGGCGGAGAAACCTGACACCCAGGCGGTGATATCACCCGCAGCCAACAGCTCGGAATTCAGAAAGTTAAGTGTCACCCAGCAATTTCGTTCCAGGCTCGAGCGCCCGCACCCGGCTCGGAAGCAGGGAGGGGGAGGGAGCGGGTGGCTGAGTTCGCCCGGGGGCAGCGCCGACCCGGGCTAGCCGCCTCCGGGAAGCCGTGCGTTCGAGCCCAGTGGGGAGCGGTGTGCACTACCTAGCAATGATTTCATCTTTTTTTCGGAGGAGCGGCCAGGGCTGCCATGTGCCTGGTGGTGTGCAACTGGGTACGCTGCGATGGGAGACCCACCTAGACAGGGCCCTGGTGGCCGCGGGACGCAGCGACTCAGCCAGGAAAGGGCTGGCGGTCGGAGAGGGGAAGTCGAGGTGGCTGAAACGCGGCTGCTCCGCGGAGGTCGCCGGCCTCAAGGGACTGACCTCCGGCGCCCTCCCCTCCTCCATCCCCGCAAGGACCGAGGCCAAGGTGCTGGGGCAGCTTCGCAACTCCCAGGGAGGATGCTGCTGTGGCCCGTCGGGATGCAGGGGCCGAGCCTTCCCAGGGCCGCGGACCCCGCGGGGCCCCATTCCCCGCCTGTGCCCCGCCGCGCCCCGCGCGCTCCCGGCGGCGTGGCGGTGGCAGTGCAGCCCCCGCCCGAGCCAAGCGACCGGCCACCCGCTTAGGGACCGCGGTGACCACCCGCCCGGCCCGGCGCTAGTCACAGACCGCCACTCTTTTCGCGCTCGCGGCCCCAGGCGCCTCCCCCATCCCCCAGGTCCTGGAGAAATGCCGGTCGTACCTTCCACGGCTTCCTCCACCATCTCGTCGTCGCTATCCATGGCGGCTGCGACCCTGCCCAGCACCGGGCCGTGCGGCCGGTTCCCGTCCCTCCGGGTGCTCGCGGCGGCTGAGCGAGCGCTGGGGCTCAGCCCTGCGAGTTTGGAGGAGGAGGAGGGGGGAGGAAGAGGAGGAGCAGTCGGGGCGGTTCGCGCTGCCTCCCCCTACAGTCCTTTCAATTCCTCGGCCTGCCGCGGCTGCCGCAGCCGCCGTCCCTCCTCCCTTCGTCCCCGGTCCCCAAGGCTCCGGGGTGCAGCGGCTGCTGCAACTTTCTCCTGTAATACCCCCTCTTTGTTGTGGAGCAGCTGATCCGCTGACATCACCCGGCGCCGGTGCGCTCCCTCCCTCGTTGATTGACAGTTCCCTGTCCTTTCCCAGAAGTGAGGATCCTTAGAACTGAAGGCGCTTCGGGGCCGCGCCGCCTCTGCTGGGCTGTGGGCAGGCCCGGCTGCGTTTACCTTTTGGCTTGGCGCGCCGCGCGACAGCCACGCGGTCCTGGTCGCCGCCTGCTGCTCAGTAGCACTGGGGATCGCTGGGGTTTCGGCCCTGGGGTTGGTGGGGGCTCGGAGCGCAGCCACCGGTGACTTGGAAATGCGCGGTGCAGGGTTTTCCCACCACTATACCCATCCAGGATAGCTAGAGCTCACACAGAGCTAAGGAAGCGTTTTCTGATGCTCCTGAGCCTTGACTTCCTCTCGCCCTCGCGCTATCACTTCACCAGGCTTGCCACCACCCGGAGCTACAAAGTGCCGCGCGCACAGGAGCGCAAATGCCCCCCAAAGCCCAGCGTCGTCTCCACAATCCAGTTTCCCAGACTCTAGGGGACGACCTGCACTCCGAATTCACCCACCACCACCACCACCGCAGGTCCCACCCAGGAGTCCCCAGTCTCCACCCTCTTTCGCATCTCCAGCCCCCTGAGGAGATTCAGGAATTCATCAAACCCAACTGGCAGCAGGCTGGTTAATCAGGCCTCACCCGAGGCTGGGCAGGTTCCCTCTCGCCCTTGTCTTGGAGACGGAGCCACCAAGTGGAGAGCTGGAGCCAGGACCCTGTATCTCGCGCGCCTCCTCTCGCCTCCCGTCCAGTACGTGTGATGTCTCTAGATGTTTCTCTGGTTTCTCTAAGTACCAGCCACTTGGCAGATTCGGCGTCTTTGAGAGAAGAAAACCCGATCCCCACCCCAGTCACTTAAGAGTGTCATTATGACTCTGTGTCTTACAGGTGGCAGTAAAGGACCGCTTTAAATAGCGGGTTAAATGAATGCAGATGTACACAATGTACCGTGGAATTACCGGGTGCCAGTCTGGCCTTCTGCCAAGAACAGCCACCGCGGTGGGTGGGAGAGGTGGGGCAGGAAGCAAAGAAAGTTGTTCCATTTGATTTTGTGAACAATGCACGAGGCCCGGATTTCAAAGTACTTCCAACGTCTGAGAGAGGCAGTATTCCCCCCTCCCCCCCAACTTCTTATTTTTAAGACAAGGTCTTTTGTAGCCCAGGCCTCTAACTCACTAACTCACTGTGTACCAGGAAGATGTTCTTGAACTAATGATCTTCCCGCCTCCACATCTCCCCAGTGCAGCAATTACAAGCATTGGCCAGCACGCTGAATTAAAATGATACCGAAGAATCAATCCGGGTTCTTCCATGCTAGGAAAATACTCTACCAACTGAACTGCATCCCTGGCCTTATAAGTCAGGTTTAAAAGACAAATAAACAAACAAACAAACGGGGGCAGTGGCTCACACCTTTAATCCCAGCAGTGGGAAGGCTGAGGCATGCTGATCTCTGACTTCAAGGCAAGCCTGGTCTATGCAGCCAGTTCCAGGTCAGACAGGGACAGAGAAACCCTGTCTTGAAGCGGGGAGAGGCAGGAGCATCTAAGAGAAAAATTCTAGAGATATAGTTCCCAGTATTATCAAGAACTTTAGCTCCACACTGATGACCCCTTTAGACAGTGGAAGGTTGTGGAAAGTCAGGGCTAGTGACCCTTACCTCCCCAATGTGTATGAGTTTCTCTTCCTGGACATTAGACGGTCTACTCACATGGGCAGAGACTCCTCTGGTTTAGGCTGGATTAGCCTTTGAACCTTTAGCCTAGGTTACACCCCTGTAGGGTCCTCTGGTTCAGGCTATACTATTCTGAAGTCTTCCAGACCACTTTGAGATCTATCTCAGGCCTGACCTCCTTAAGGTCTCCCAGGGCAGGTACCTGGGCCCGTGGACTCCACAGAAATCTGTTCCTGCCGTGACAGATGAAAGAACACCTTTAGATTATAATTTAAATTTTAGTTAATTATAAATTCAAATTTAATTTAAAAAGATATAAATAAAATAAATAAAAAAGATTTTTATTTGTGTGTGTGAGAGACAGAGACGGAGAGACAAAGAGACTCTCTGTGGGTGGATGCTGTGTGTATAGGGATACCTAAGGAGGCCAGGGAGCATCAGAATTCAGAAGCTGAAGCTACAGACTGTAGTGAGCTCTTGGATGTGTGGGTGCTGGGAACAAAACTTGGGTCTTCTAGAAGATCAGCAAGTGCCCCATATTACATCATTTTAAAACATGAACTACAGAAGCAGGATTTTACTGAGTGTGGTCATGTACATATGTGTGTATGTGTCTGTACGTGTGTGTGTGTGTGTGTGTGTGTGTGTGTGCTCGCTAGCCAGAGCACAACCTCAGATGTCCTTCAGGTAATGTTAAATTTTTTTTTTTTGACAGACTGTCTCACTTGCCTGGAACTCACAAAGTAGACTAGATCTCAGAAATCTACCTGTTTCTGCCTTCCCAGTGGCTGGGACTACACCCGTACACCTCCGAATTTGTCTTTTTTCTTTGAAAGCATGTGTCCTAGAGATAGAACATTCCAGGCCTTATCTGATTTTTGAAAGGGCACCTACTGCTTCATCCCTTCCAGGTTTTGATCTATATGACATTTCATATATTTAATTATTTTCATAATAATTATTATATTAATTTTTATATTAATTATATTGATTACATTTAGTTATTATATTTAATTATTTTCAATTTTTACATATCACCGCTCTGCTTACCAAAGAATATCAGATACTCACCTCCGTCAGCTACTGGACAATAAAAACGCTGAAAATTGAAGGGAGAAGCACAAATAATGTATTTCTCTTCTGAAAGGGGGGTAATGTCAGGGCAGGAAATGTCTGTTCAAAACACAGTGAGACATGGGCTCCTGGTGGGAGGGTATATATGATGGGGGGCTGGGTGAGATGGCGGATCTGTCACAAGTGTTACCCCTCTGCCCTGTGCAAGTATCTATCACCTTCTTCCCTATAGAGTTCTTCATAGAGAACTCGTTTTGCGAGCTCCCCTTCCACTTGGCCTCCCACCAGGTTCCCCTGTCACCCTCTGTCCCTGCCAGTGTGGTCATGGGCTAGAATATCAGTGAAACTCTTATTCAGAGGCAGTGTGCAGCAGCAATAGAAAGCTGCCTGGTCCTAACTCAGGTTCTCGCACAGTAGGATGTGTACAAGAGAGCCAGCGGGAAGCTCTGGTATGAGACTCGCTTGCATACTCACAAGGAGCCCTGGTTTTTTTTTCCTGCTTTTATTTATTAATTTATTTTGATTAATTGGTTTTTGCGGTATTGAGGTTTCATACATGGAAGCAAGCATGTTATCACTACTCCTAACCCTTTGACGGTGGATTCAGGCAGGCTTCTTTCTTTCTTTCTTTCTTTCTTTTTTTTTTTTTTTAATTTTCGAGACAGGGTTTCTCCGTTGCTTTTTGGTTCCTGTCCTGGAACTAGCTCTTGTAGACCAGGCTGGCCTCGAACTCACAGAGATCCGCCTGCCTCTGCCTCTTGAGTGCTGGGATTAAAGGCGTGCGCCGCCACCACCACCCGGCGGCAGGCTTCTTTCTATTAGCTGAGCACACACCCCCACAGCCCCTCACTGGTGGATTTTAGACAGGACTCTAGCACTGAGCCACCACTCCCCCAACCCTCTGTCTCCTAGTGAGCATGCTACTGCTAAGCCATTACCCCAATGCACGGGATGACTTTTCTAAGCTTCTCTGGTTTAGCTTCCACTGTCCCAACTCATGTGGTCCATATATCTCTCCAGACTCTGTGTGGGAAACCAAAGTCCCCCCTCCACCGTCTAAAACAATCAAAGCACCCGGCTACTTTGAGTCATTCCCCAACTCATGGCTTTCCCCGGAGAACTCACAAGATTCTTCTTGCAAAAGTGATCTCACTGGGGCTGGAGAGATGGCTCAGTGGTTAAGAGCATTGCCTGCTCTTCCAAAGGTCCTGAGTTCAATTCCCACCAACCACATGGTGGCTCACAACCATCTGGCGCCCTCTTCTGGCCTTCAGGCATACAGACAGAATATTGGATACATAATAAATAAATAAATATTTAAAAAAAAAGTGATCTCACTTTCACAGGGAATATATTTCTATGATCTTTCTGTATTTAAGGCGCTTCCCCTATCCAAGGTAAACAAGCTTTGTGAGTTAACAGCTGTGCGTTTGGAGCACCCCGGGGAAACACTCAATGTGGCTTTGCTTATCTTGGGGGTTAGTAAAAAAATTACTCCTCCGCTGCCCCAGCGGATTAGGGTTGGAAGACCCCAAGCATCCTTCAGGCCCAGGTGTCCCAGCAGATCAGGATCGAAGGCCTCAAACATCCTTTCGGTCCAGGTGCTCCTGGGAGTTGAGGGGCTTCCAAGGTTAGACAGCAGGAGCTCTTTTTTTCGGGGGGGGGGGGGGGAAGGGAAGGAGTTAAATTATTTTCTGTGTATAAGTGTATGCCTGCTTGTGTGTATGCACATCACCTGCATGTCTGGTGCCTGTAGAAGCCAAAAACAGGGCTTTTAAAACTCCTCTGGAACTGGAGTTAAAGACTGTGATGAGCTGCAATCTGGATTCTTGGAATTTAACATGGGGCGACCTCTGGAAGAGCAGCCAGTGACATTAACCACTGAGCTATCTCTTCAGCTCCATTCGGCAGCTCTTTTTGCTACTGTTTTTGAGAAAGGTTTTTTTTCTTTTTTTTTAATGGTTGGTTTGGAATTTGTTATGTAGCCCAGGCTTGTCTTTAATTCCCATTTATCTACCTGTGACAGCTTTCAGTGCACTGGGGTTAGAGGCATGGTGCTACCCCATGACCCGGTGAAGGAATTTTTTTTTTTAATTTTAATTTTGTTTTCTATTTTTTTAAATTTATTTTTGAGACAGAGTCTCACTTAGCCCATGTTGGTCTCAAACTACTGATCCTCCTACCTTTAACTGGAATACAGGTATGTGCTATTGACCTGGTCTATGCTATACTGGAGATGGGACCCAGAGCCTACCTAGCTACATCCCCAACCCAGGAACTGTGAAGCAGTCAAGTCCCATTTGATTCTGGTTATTCTTTAATAAGGTCTTTTTCTGGACTGGAGAGATGGCTCAGTAGTTAGAAACATATACTGCTCTTCCAGAGGGACCAGAATTTGCTTCTCAACACCTGCATCAGGAGGCTTACAACTGCCTGTAACCCCAGGGGATCATGGGTACCGCACCCCCACCCCACTCCCCACCGCTGGTCACAGACCCACATACATAAATGATAATAAAATAGTGTGATTGAATTTTCGCCTTGTAAGAACTAGCAACTGGGTGATAAAATGCCTTATACAGCGGAAAATTGGTCTTTACCAATGCTCCGCTCAAACCTACTTGGTCTAGGTTGCGGGTAGAGAGGGGAGGGTGGGGGAAGTGAGTCGGGGCTCACGGTTTAAGCGAAGCAAATCATCAAAGCCCAGCACCATAAGGGAAGAGGGAAAGGGCTGAATCCAGGCTGAATAGCAAACGGAGCGTTCACTTTTTCTAGCGCCATCTTTTCCTAGGATGAAGGAAAACGCAAAGGGAGGGCCGGAGAGGCCATTTTCTTGACCTCAGGAGGCATGGGCTCTT